GGCCAGTTAAGAGAGAGGTCTTCCTGTCCTGAGATACTGCTGCTATGAAATTACCCTCTGCCAGATCTGCTGGGTTATGCTTGCTACAGCAACAAAAAGGCTGCCTTTTTAGGGCCAAAGGCATTTGTACAGCTGGTATGGAAGTACCCTCACCACATTCAGTCCAAATTTACTTTATAGGCTGGGCTTTTCAAACAAATAAGTAAAGAAATAAAAACGGTTCTGTAAGTGTGCAGCAAGAGCTAGCTGTGGGTGGCTCCAGTTGGCCAGTGCCCATGATGTTATGAAGAATGTCCATTCCTTCTCCCCATTTTCTAGAGTACTTTTGCACTCCTTTTAAAAACTTCCTCTAGAGTTGCCAACTCCAGGTTGGAAAATGTCCAGAGATTTGAGGTTGGAGCCTGGGACAGCAGAGTTTAGGGAGGGGAGGGACCTCAGCAGGGGTGTAAATGCCATATTGTCCACTATCCAGAACTGACATTTACTCCAGGGGATCTGATCTCTGCAATCTGGAGATCACTTGTAATTCTGGGAGATCTCCAAGCCACACCAGGAATTAGGCAACTGGGGTTCCCAACCTCCAGGGATTACGACGGATCTCCAGGTGACAGAGATCAGTTCACCTGGAGAAAACGGCCACTTTGGAAGGTAGACTTTATGGCATTATACTCCATTGAAGTCCCTCCCCAAACCCCACCCTCTTCAGGCTCTGCCCCAACAATCTCCAGGTATTTCCCAACCGGTAGCTGGTAACCCTACTGGCAACCATAAGCATTACCTCTGTCCTCACCTTGGCTGCCTGATTTCTTCTTCCTTCTTGAAAGACAGGCCCATCCTCCATGCAAATCGGCAGAAATGCCTCCCATTGTTCCACTAGCTCTTCTTTGGCCTGAAAGATCTAAGCACTGGGAACTCCATCCTTTGAACTCCTCCTGCCTCCTCTAGTTCGGCTTGCCATGGCCTTTCTTATACTCTTCCCACTGATATGTGTGTTGTATTTCAGAAAGGCTTGCTAAATCAACTCTGGTACTTGGGGGAAATGCCTTTGATGGGTTCAGCCTCTGCTTCAAAGATTTCTGGCCCAGTGAACTTTAGCTGTGCCAAATGGGTGTGATTTGTCTTTGAAGCTGTAAAAGCAGACAAACATAGGCCAGCCATAAAAAGCACCTTTGCAGTGAGCCAGATCCCCAGGAACCAGGAAAATAAAAAGCTTCTCCACACAAGCAGAAGAGCCGCTGGGGGATTCACACTGCGGGAGTTCCTCATACAAGGGCACCCCCCCTGCCACATGTAACCTGGGGTGAATGCCTTGTTGTGGGGAAGAGAGAGACTCATTGCTGGGGGAGGGGGGGAAGCTGTGCTGCTGTTTCCCTCATTGCCCCTAATTGTTTGGGGGTTCTGATGGTCATTTTAAACGGCCCCCATGTCAGCCCAGTGCTGTCTTATTTCGCCATCTCTGCTCCCTAATTCAATAATGCATTGTACTAATAATAACAATTAGCAATGGAATAGTAGGGGAAGCTTTCATGGGCTAGAGGAGCCCACCTGGGTATCTTCAGGAAGCCGGCTGCAATAAATGTGTTAGTTGTTAGGGTACTCTGGAATTCTTCGCCTTTGATAGCCAGTTTTGGGAAAGAGGCTTGATTTATCTGGGTATGCTCTCGCAGTGACATTCTCCAAAATATCAAACATCTCTTTCGACAGCAGATCATGAAATCCTTCCTGGGGTGTGTGTGTGGGGGAGGGCTGGGCCTTGAACAGTGCAAATGATTCAGCCGCTTCCCTCCATCTGTCCCTCCTTGCTGCCTTGAAGAACACCCCCACCAACATCACAGTTCTGGGTGTTCTTCTGCAATTCCCACTTCCTCCCACACTCCCCGCCAGGCTTCAATTGTCTTGCCATGTGATTGCTGCTCGTGGGTCTTCCTTTCTGGCAAACATTCCCCTTTCCCTTTGAATGGAAATGGAAATCAACCAGCAAGAGAGTCTCCTATTTATTGCTCGTGACAATACAAAGGGGAAAACACAGGCGAATGTCAGGATTCTGAAATCTGGCATTTGCGTTTGCCAAGCCACATGGCGTATTGATGAAACACGGCCAAGAGGAAATAGATTGACTCTATTACACGACTTTTGGCTTGTGCTTCTGGGCTTCCTGGAGGCATCTGCCTGGAAACGGGATGGTGGACTGGATGGACCCTTTGTCCAATCCAAAAGGACTTTTCTTATACCCTTAGATACAAGGAACCAAGAAGCAGTGTGGGGTGCAAGGGGGATATGGCCACCACAGTGACCTGCGTATTGCTTCCTGGAAGCGTCCGGTTGATGTCTACTTGGAGACAGACAGCTGAATTGGTCGGATCCTTGGTCTTGCTTAGTAAGGCAAGTCTGATGCTTATATTTCTCTTGAGTCTGTGCGCATATGAAGAAGCAGTACAGAAACTGAGAGGCCTTGGCAGAGCATCTGCTTTGCATGCAGAAAGTCCCAGGTTCAATCTCTAGTTAAAGTATCTGAGGAAGCAGGTGTCGGGAGACCCCCACCTCTGCCAATCACACTAGAGGAGGGGTAGGTATCCCCTGCACGTGTGCTGACAGTGGCACGGTGGGACAGATCTCCACCCAAGCAGCCGAGGTACTTGGCAACACAGCTGGGCCCAGTGGTGTGGGTAGGGTTGCCAACCTCCAGGTGGGGCATGGATATCTTCCAGACTTGCCAAGTCCATGGTGACTCCCTGGCATGCTGACAGCACCGCTGGGACTTGGCTTGTTCCAAGTGCGTCTGGCCAAGTACAACCCTCCCCTCCGATTTTATTTGCCAGCATCCTAACTTTTTCAAAGGTAGATAACTACATTTTTTCATTTGGACAAAAAGGTTGCCTAACCCGACACTAGGCAATATTGAGCTAGATGGACCAGCGGTCTGCACCCCCCCCCCCCCCCAATGTTGTCTCCTTGCTGTTTCCGCGAGTCTGCTGATCCTCAGGAACAAAACTTGGGGAAGCTCAGTGGGCTGCCGCAGGATGGGAAATCAGCAGAAATTGTCGCCTCCTCTTAAGAAAATTTAAGTGCCCTGAAGTCTTTGGAACTGTGTGAGTAGATACAGTCACCCTAAGTCCATGCTGTATTTTCACTGAGAGTCAAAGCTGTTATAACAGGGATCAGCAAAAACGTCTGCCATTGATTTAAGTAAGCCATAGGGTTCCGTGGTTGCTTTGTAAGATGCATTTTCCACTTTTAACATGCATGAAATAATATAATCAACGGTCCCTTAATGAATCCCAAGGGACCTCTGGGTAACTTTTCTGCAGTGGACTGTGGAAGAGCCTTTTCCCCCAAGCTGGTTTTTCAATTTTGAATGGAGAGCCCTAAAAACCTTTGGTGACTTGGCTTCACCATTTAAAGAAAACCAGCCCCCCCACACACTTCTAATTAATATGAGCAGCTCATTTGGAATCAAACTAACTGAACATTTTGAAGTGAAAGGTTAGCTTTTGTAGGCATCCATTAGCATGCATTTTAATTAAAGTCCATGGAAGCTTGGCTCAAAGGGGTTCAGGCTTGCCGACACAAATGGCTTGACACCAGAGATTCCACTGATGCTATTGCAAGACTCCCAACAAATTCTGGTGATGTGTGTGTGTGTGTGTGTGTGTGTAGGCCAAAAAGTGCTCATTTTGACAGAAAATGCCGTCCAGGGTATGCAGGGCATTCTTGTTTTATAAGCATGAGGCCAACTTGTGTTTTTCAAAAAGCAGCTTCCTTTGCTGTGTGACAAAGTGCTTTGGAAACTTAGTGGAGTCTCAGAAGCAGTTTATGAGTGGCCTGGGAACTTTTGGTGAAAGAAAAGTAAAAAGATGTCACTGGGCACATGCCATGGGGCGCTAATGTATTTTTTCCAGAAATGAAGACAACAGCAATTGAACTGCCAGCTGTGAGAAGAAAGTGGGGGCCCTATGTGAGCTGCTTTCGACCCAGGGCCAAAGTCATTGAGCTGGGTGATATAATGGCATCTCTGCCCTCCTGAGCTGATTTTCTTATGGGAATAACACAGTGGGGGTGTTGCTTCATGAAGTTAGTTGGGTGTGTTTTCTTGGCTGCATGTCACAGCACCGGAGGAAAATGAGTGCAACGAATGTCCTGAGCTGCGTATTGGGAATGCAGCAAACCAGAAATGCAATAATGAAGAAAGTCAGGACTGCCCTCTACTGGCCAGACCTCTTGTGTGTGCACAGCATTACCCCCACTGCCGGCTTTGGCTCGTCAGACTTCCAGTATTGAGAGAGTACTTTCTGGATGGATTGGCCCGCCATGAGATCTCTGGCTGCTGCAAAGGATTTTGGTGTATGTGTACACTGTCCAAGTGGGGACACTAAGCAAGCATAATGGGTCCCACTGTTGTTGCCCCTGTAATGCACACTCCACAATCTGATGAGCTTGTACATTGCAGAGGAAGATCAACTGTGGTGGACAAGCTGTCTGTTCAGAGAAGCTTGGTTCTTTCCCGCATTTGCCTGCCACTCCGGATTTTCTCAGTGTTCGAGTTGAGGTAATATAAGTCCAAGGTAATACAGCATCCAACAGCAGGCTGAAACTGGACCAACCACTGAAGGGAGGTAACATAATGCAGAACGGGGGGGGGGGGGGACCCCATATTTAAAATATGCTGGTTGAATTCGATTTTAGTGCAGAATTGCTTGGAGGACCCCATGGTGAACATGGATTAAAAGGAGAGTGCAGAAAGGGCGCTTGTATGCTGTTACTGAACTTCTGAGGGATCCATGGCAGATTTCACAGGAACCTCTAAGGTATACTAGAGCACCATTTGGAAATCATTCTTCTAGACTACAGAATTCATATGACTTCAACAAAAGTGGTGGATGAGAAACACGTTGCCACTGAATTTAAAAGGGGGTGGAGAAATGTCACCATTTTGCTTTATCAGTTCCAAATAACAACCCCAACCCCTGATTAAAAATTCTATGTTTTATTGATTTAGGACAGCAACATGTTAAATTAACAAACAAACAAACAAACAAACAAAAATTTCCCAGTATAAAAAGGTATGCAGGAAAACCAGCACCACCCTGCCTCACTGTCGCAGGCCATCTACCCATGATGGAGGAGACTCCAGTCTCTGCCCATGCCTGCCATATTGTGTGCAAGAAAACACAAGTTGAAAGAAATTGAGGGAGAGGCAGAAAATCATTTGCTCAAACAAGGACTGCAGTTCATGAATCTTCCCTTCCACATAACATACACAACACACATAATCTGAGATAACCAGACTTCTGGGATCCCAGCCTTCATGACAGGAAATTGTGAAATGGAGGTGGGAAGGACACAGACTGAGTGGAGATTGACTACAGTGCCACGTGTGATGTCCTTGTTTCCAGGTGACAACAGTAGCAATCGCACTGCATCTCAATGAAATCCAGGCCACTATCGCGCTGAATTGTGATTGTGCTTGAGTGCTATAGTGCTCACATTAGAACATTAAAAAATGCTGAAGAAGGAAGATCGCATATGCAGCAAAAAAGGGCGGGAAAACAAAGTGTCATTGCAGGAAGCGCTGTGGGAATTTCATACAGCACATCACAGTGATTCAGAAGCACAACGAAGGGTTTGAAAATGGAAGAAAGCAGTTTACGTCAACAATGGCTCAGGCACGCTTCACCAACAGGAGGCAAGCAGGCTTGTATGAACTGGTAAATAAATTCTGCTAGCAGCCAGTTACTAAAACAGGTCTGTCTGAAATGGCAGGAAAAAAGTTAGTAACCAGTTACTAAAACAGAAATAGACAGGTAGTCTGAAAAGGGCCACAATTTGGTAAGATGGTTGTTCTGTCACATCCTGCCAAGTTATGAGGAGAATTTTACCACACATCCTTCCATAGTCAGAAATTCAGGGCACAGAGCGTGTGTGAAAGTCCTTTAGGAGCTAGTTGGAGCATCACTGGAGACAGTAAGATATCCTACCTCCATTTGATCAGGGGTCACCTGAGAGGGCAAGAGAGAGGTGCTTGTTCTCCTTGTAAGAAGCCCAAGACTACTGTCTCAGTCCACACAGCTCAAATTTGAGGCTCAAGAGTGCTGACTGCATCCTGAGTTGTTGCTGAGGCCCTTTCTGACACAATTTCTTTTCTGCCTCTGCAGGAGACAGAAAAGAGAACTACGAAGTGAAAAGTGGTGTTAACGATGGCTGAAGAGTTTTAAAGACTGGTAGGCTAAGAGGAAACTAAGCAGTCCATGTAACATTCTGAAGAAAAATTTCCCTCCCACACTCATACAAAATGGAACAGTGATCCAGATGTAGAAGGAAGCAAGAACATCAGTATCATCATCATCTCATGCTGAGATGTACCACCAGTAAACTACGAGACCAAAAACAGTGGATATCACTTCAGCCTGGCTGGCCAGCCAGCCACACTCTGCCCTCTGGCTATATCCACAGTTGCATGTATGCTGCAATTCTTGCAAGAACACAGGGAAAAAACACAGGATTTGCAGGATTTGGCTGAGAATCTGTGTTTTCGTTTTTTTAAAAAAGTGCTTAGCCCTTATTCCTGAGGGTGAGCAATTATTGCTGAACGCTCAGAAGCTGAAGAAGCAGCTGAATAAGATTCACAGCCGCTAGGGGGTGGGATTTCCAGGACCACTGCTCCCAGGATTGCAAAATGAGAATAAACAATGCAAAACCTTATAAATTAAAGAATAAATTATGTAGAATCAGATGAAACTATGCACATAATCATCTTTCTTTGGTACACAGATTTGAACTGCTTACATGCAGGACTGTGAATTTTGTGTTTGTACACAGCTCTTGGGATAGGTTTACTCAGAAGTAATTTCCACTAAGATCAATGGGGCTTACTTCAAGGTAAGCGTGCACAGGATTGCAGCTATAGGCACTTACAGGGCAAATCATCTCACAGTATTACAGAAGTGCATTTGACAAAGTAATGCCCCTGAGAGGTAGAATAGGAATGTGACCCTTGTTTATCAGGCAGTGGATGAAAGTTCCAACAGGACTCATGCAAACTCATGCCTTGCAAGGACTTCAGTGTGCCAAGGCACTGGGCATATGCCTGACACAGACTGAGCTTGAACACATCTGGAATTTAGAACTATGCTTGAATCACAAGCTCTGGACAGCCACCCCACTCTTTCTCCATGCACAGCATGTACCCAGTTTAAGCACCGTTTGACCAGGGCTTTGCTTGCAACCTCAGCACACCCTGCAGCTGTGCAGACAGGCACAAGCCAGGCTGAAGAACCAGTCTTCAAGCTCCACTGACTTATCCTTTGCTCTGTAATAGAATGTACAAGTTCTCTGAATAAATAGTATGGCTTCCGTTTCCACCCCATTATTTTCAAACTCTTTGTGTTGGGTTTTTTGAAAGGCAGCACTTGTACCGCGACATCTCTTCATTCCATCTTGTGTATGTAGGCATCTACGGTTGGGATCTCAATGTCTTTCTCCTTGACGGGATCGATCACATGGCTGTACCTTTCTCCACGATGGCTTGCCAGGGCGGGCCCCCAGGTGTCAGTTGGCTTGCAACAGATGACAATGCGCTGCAAAAGTGGGGAGAAAGGGAAATCAGGCTACATTTTAGAGGGGTCTTTCTAGTAGGGAGGTATGGGAGGTGGGCGTTGCTAGGACTGGCTACTACACAATACAGCCACTTGCACTGATGCCTTTAATTTATTTATTTATGTATTTATTTATCCTTAGATTTGTATCCCGCCCTACCCCTGAGGCTCAGGGCGGATAACAAGGGCACAATGTGCCAAAATTAAAACAATAAAAACACATAATATAAAACAGTAAAGTACAATAAAAAATAGACACAAGATGGGTAGATCTTAAACCTAACGGCAGCTTTACCAAAATCTATCATCCACTTCAGGCAGAAGACAGGAGGGCCTGGCGTGACCTGGTCCATGGGGTCGCAAAGAGTCGGACTCGACTATGCGACTGAACAACAACAACTGTCTTGAAGAAGAAGGTGGGAGACACCACTTCAGCCTCTTTCTTACCAGTACTTTGCACCAACCTGTACCAGCTTACTTTTGTAATGATTGTGTGGTTGTTCTGAGTTGTGAAATCAGAAGACGTCCTCCTGGGAGGCCCGCGTGGGAACAGAGGAGCTCATGCTGTGATGGGCATTGTCCTCAGACACTCACCTGCCATAGGTTTCCGTTAGCTTTTATTATCTTGTACACTGCAACAATGGGGATCCAGATGAGGCAGAAGATGATCATGCACCAGCCGATGGCAGATCCCCAGCTGGGGTATTTTATTGAGCCGTACGTAGGAGGTGCAAATGTGACCAAAGACCAGACCAAAATTGCCTATTTGGAAAAATAATAACAAAAGGAGAGAGAGAGGCATGAGAGTAAAACCTGAACACACGAACCTGCTGAATCAGATGACTGGTCTGTCAAGGTCTGTATTCTCTACTGGCAGTGGCTTTCCACTAACCTACCTCACAGGGTTGTTTTGAGGATAAAATGAGGGAGGAAGAGTTAATCTTAGCTCCTTGGAAGAACGGTAAGGTAAAAAGTGTTCTAGATACATATTTTCTGAAGAATCTGAAATGCAAACATGTACACTGTACACTGGGACTCATGTTTCCAAGGAGTAAACACAGCTAGGTTAAGTTGTTAATACTGGCCAATTTATATACTACAATCGTAGGCATATTCTCAGTGTCTTGGACTTTGTATTCTTGGCTTGTGTATGCAGAAGGTCAAGGAGAAATTATTCCCTTAAACTCTGTCCTGCATTCCAGTCCCGCCCCATGATTGACAGTAATTGTTTCCTCAGTGCCCTCTTAAGGCGGAGAATGGGTGTACCTCTGCAGGGGTGGCAAAGAGGAAGGTTTCGACTAGAGAGTGGTTAGGGTGTTGGACAAACGCCTAGGATAACCAGGTTTGAATTGCTGATCTACCACAGAAGCTCTCTAGATGGCCTTGAGCTTTTCACAGTCTCTCAACCTAACCTACCTCACAAGGTTGTCCTTTTGAAGAAGTAAGGAAGGAGAGGAGGAAGAGGAGGAAGAGGAAGGAGAAGAATTAGATTTATACCCCGCCCTTCACTCGGAGTCTCAGAGTGGCTTACAATTTCCTTCCCTTCCTCTCCCCACAACAGACACCCTGTGTGGCGGGTGGGGCTGAGAGAGCTGCTTTGTCTATTTGTATGCTGCAGACTGCATCTCTTCATAGCGTTCTAGTCCCACTGCTGGCATTTTTTTTCTATCCTCCATCCAAGAGTATGTGTGTACACAGACACACTTCATGCCTTTGACAAAGTGGGTCCCCAAATGATTATGTTACAACAACCAGTTCTTTAAAGGGTCCCGAGGATCCTTGAAATTTGTGGGAATTTTCAGCCTTTCGCCTTGGCTCTATGACTGTTGGGTCTCAGGTTTGCAGTGGGTTTCTGAAATCTGTCCAAGAATACCTAAGTCTAGGTGCCACATTCCCTAACCCTAAGGAAGAAACCACAGAGCAACCAGATGCACCAATAACAAACCCTCTTCACAACGATTGGCCAGTGTGGGTCAGCTGATATCCCTTGAGGGCTATAGATGCTCCTGGTTCAGTCTTGCTTGCTGGTCTCAACAGCCTGAAGAATCTGTTCTTCTTTGAACTAGCTTCAAACCACCATTCCCCTGCTTTGCTTCATTTTCCAGTCACAGCCAGCCAGCCAGCCAGATCTGATTGGAGCTTAGCATGAAGATCGTTTTGTACTAGAATGGGCATCTGCTGAATATTTCCTCACAAAAACCCTCACCCTAAAATCTGAAATGGTATTCCTGGTTACTTACGAGAAGGAGGCAAGGGGTGATGAAAAACCAGCATGCCCTCCACCACAGCCAGAACCAGAAACTTTTCTTCCCAATCATCATTTCTATGTCTTGGATAAATCGGTTTCCTCCTATATAAAGGAACCAGATAACGTATCAGTCATTTGGTGGATCAAGGTGAGCAGCCATACTGGTCTGAAGCAATACAACAAAGTTAGAGTCCAATGGCACCTTTAAGACCAACAATTTTTAAATTCAAGATGGGGGCTTTCGTGTGCATGCGCACTTTGTCAGTCGATGAAATGGAATTACGTTATCATAGTTGTATATATAGGGGTAGCTTGTTAAATTAGCATGCAAAATAGTGTGAATATTCTTTTAAACAGATCGAAAGAATGACACGCTTGGTTTCTGGCTATCATCTGTTTCGGTTCAGCTGGGGGTGGGGGACAACATAGGTAATAAATATGTTAGAACTGGAGATTGACGTGTTCTAATTTGTGAGAATCCCATCCTTAGACCCCCAGCCATTTCCTTTCTATCATGGAGGCAAACTTACAGCATCTTGGCTGTGCAGAGTATTTTCCTTGTTCCCAAAACAGAGAACTACATTTAAATCTACCACTCCAAATTACATTACATATTCAAATACATTCTTAATTGTTAACAGCAGTAATAACATTGAGTTTCACTAAAACATGGAGTTAACGGACAGAATCCTTTTCCTGGGGTACCGTGTTATTGTTATGTACTAACAAAGGGACCACGCATGTGGTTGGGCCCGCATGCGGTCAAGCGAACAAGCAAAGCTTCACGACTAGAACGACAGACACAGAGGATCCGAGAATAGACCAGTCAGTCCATATGGATCCAAGAAGGGACCTATGGTTAAGAGGGCACTGTAAATAAACCAATCACAGGTGTGGGGTGTGTTGTGTGTGGCTTGTATTGGCATTTAAGCAGGTCCCCGGGCCCCACTGGTTGTCTCAGTTTTGCCTACTAATAAATCATGAGCTGAAATCACTCGACTACACGTCTTGAACCCAGTACTTTTCAGTTATGTCATTTGGTGGTTGTGGTTGAGGCTGCAGGAGGCTGCATATCCTCCAGGGGGCGCTGCACAGGTTTCCCTCCATTCACCTGATGTCTGGCCAGCGTAGCATTTGAAAACAAAACCAAGAGAATTTATTTTATAGTGTTCTTCTAAGTGTCTCTTGATCAAGCAATCTTAGAAAAACTTGGTCTAGAGCCATTTAGCAAGTTAATGTTATGCAAGAGTTAATTTTTTAAAAAGTTTTGGAGGGTCTCTTCTTGTTGTTAGAAGATATTCCAGCAGAAATTATTTACCATAAATCCAGCAGATTCCCACTAATTCAAGGACAGCCGCGAAAAGGATTCCCCAGCCAGCACAGAAATGGTCCACTAAGTTGACCCAGTAGATTCCTGCCTGGGGAAAGAGGGAAGGTAAGCTTTGATACACGACTCTCAAAATGGTCCGAGATAAGACGTTCTCAATGTTTGTCCTTGTGGGCTTCAAGAAAAAAGAAAAGTCTCACTCGAGCCTTGCCCATTTTGAGGCAGCCCTGCTTGTCTTGGAGACATCGGGTTAACCTACCTGCGTGACACACACAAGCCCGAGCAGAAATAGCAGCAGGCACAAGCCCATGGTCATTGGGATCCTCATTTTGTTCATCAGCCGGGGGTACAGGTCGTGGATAGTTGTTGTGATGGTTTCTGCAGGGTGAGGAGGGGGCGTTGTGTTAGTGTGATGCAGTAAGGTCCAAGGGAGCCATTGCCTGACTCAGCACTGAATACAATTGCTTGCGAGGTCCCACCTTAAATATCTACACAGGTTTCCCATCCCTCACCTTGTCCTCCCTTTTAAAGCACTGCAGGGCCTTCTAACAGATCAAGTTGCCAGCTCCAACATCACACAACTGAAAATATGATATTTTTCTGTATATATTAGTCCCCTATCCCCCATTCTCTCTCTCTCTCTCACACACACACTCACACAGAGGCCTACACGCTGTCTTGAAGGCCCTTCTCTGCCTGCTGGATGCTCTGTTCATTTCCTCAGGAATGACCTGCCCTGTTGCAGGCACCTGAAGCAAGCAATACACTGACCAGGACAGTTGCCTTAATTCGTTTTTTAAATTAAGAACAGAATGTCACCATGCCACCATGGATCTGACTAATGCTACCGTGGATCTGGCTGAAGTTGTACCCCTACAACTCCTTTGCCAACATTCACTATCCTCAGGCTCCACTCCCCAGATCTTCAGGTATTTCCCAACCCAAAGCTGGCAGCCCTACCTGACCCAGTTTAATAGGGGAAATCCTTATTTTTTGCTTCCTGTACTTGATACATTATCCTTGTTTCGTCTCCATTCTGGAGACCTCTTTCTGGAAATGTTGTTTGTGTGCCCACATTTGCACCACAGTAGATTCCCTTGGGGAGGAAAGGAAGGAAAGGGAATCTACTGGGGTGCAAATGTGGGCACACAAACAACATTTCCAGAAAGAGGTCTCCAGAATGGAGACGAAACAAGGATAATGTATCAAGTACAGGAAGCAAAAAATAAGGATTTCCCCTATTAAACTGGGTCAGGTAGGGCTGCCAGCTTTGGGTTGGGAAATACCTGAAGATCTGGGGAGTGGAGCCTGAGGAGGGCAGAGTTCTGGGAAGGGAGGGACTTCAGCAGGGTGTCATGCCAAAGAGTCCACCTTCAAAAGCAATGGTTTTCTCCCTCCAAGTGAACTGATCTCTGTCACCCGGAGATCAGCTGTAATAGCGGGAGATCTCCAGCCACCACCTGGAGTTTGGCAACCCTAGGGAGAGGACAATTGGCATATCTAAAATGACCACTGGATCATCTAGCCCAGCATGTCCTCCTGTGACTGACCATGACATGGCCCCTTTCCTAGTTCAGCAGAGATCGTTTCCCCTAGGCTTTGCCCAACTCTGGGCGCGATCACATGCACAATTAGCCATGCCATAGGTGCGAATGCCGGGTGGATTTAAAGGGCGCGATCAGACATGAACATCTGGGAAGTGCCCCGCACCTGTCGGCAACCCGTTTTGCTCCGCCGCAGAAGCGGAGTAAAAAGACACCAGGGAAAGTCCGGTAGCAAATGGGTGGACGGACTTTCCCCTGTCTGATCGCTCCAGCACGCTCTCATGGCATAGGGATGGTCTGATCAGGCCATCCCGACTCCGTGCCGTTGTTCCCCCTCCCTTCTCAATATGCGCATCATCGCACACTCCATAGGGAGCCCTCAGTGATCAGCCACACCATAGGCGCAAATGCCGGGCGGATTTAAAGGGCGCGATCAGACACGAACATCTGGGAAGTGCCCTGCACCCGTCGGCAACCCGTTTTGTTCCACCGCAGAAGCGGAGTAAAAAGACACCAGGGAAAGTCCGATAGCGAACGGGTTGCTACAGGCCACGGATGGACTTTCCCCTGTCTGATTGCTGCAGCGCGCTCTCATGCCGTCGGGAGGGTCTGATCAGGCCATCCCGACTGTGCCATTGTTTCCCCCCCCCCCTTCTCGGTATGTGCATCATTGCACATGTCATAGGGAGCTCTCGTGCTGAGATGTGATTCATCGATTCCCTGTTTAAGCGCATCAGGAACAAACGGCAAAAATACCCAACTCACCTGCTGTTGCGTCTGATCATGCAGTGGCGGGCTGCCCCTGCAGCTTCAAAGGACTGTGTGAGTGTGCAACTGCGGGTCAAATTCCTCCGAGGGAAATAGCCTCGCTCCCCCTCCCCGCGTTATCTTGCACGTGTGACCACCACCTCTGTCTTCCTATTTCCCAGAACATTCTTGACATTGACCTTTCTTCCTCTGTATCCACCATCCCTCAGTTTTCCAAGGCTTCCTTGTTTTCTGAAATGATCCCACTAGGGTTGTCAACCTCCAGGTGGCACCCGGAGATCCCCTGCTATTACAGACAAGGTCAGTTCCCCTGAAGAAAATAGCTGCTTTGGAGGCTGGTATTACATGGCGTTATGCTCTGGTCAGGTCCCTCCCCTCCTAAGCCCCGCCCTCCCCAGGCTCCACGCCCAAATCTCCAGGTATTTCCCAACCCAGAGCTTTCAACTCTAGATCCCACCCATTCTCCCACTTTGCCCCTTATGCTTGGAATACTGTGTTCCATAACACCTACATGGTGCCACTGTCACCTTTTTTCACTTCCTCCAAACTGTTCCTTAAAACCCATCTTTCCCCATAAGTCCCTGGGCTCAATCCCATAGTCTTCATCTCACTATCAAAATGAAGTCCCCGTGTCGCTATGTATTTGTGAGCGTGAGAAGCTCATAAAATGCAAGGTCAATTGGTTCTCAGGAAACCATTAACAAATGCCGTCCTTGGGATTTCAGCCTCATCCCTATGGATCAGGAGGAATTTCACACAAAAAAAATCTATGGTATACCATCAAGTCTGCACTCTGAAGTGGCCATTTCCTCCAGGGGAACTTATCTCTGCAGTCTGGAAATAAGTTATAATTCCAGGGGTTCTCCAGGCCCCACCTCAACAGACTGTACAATGGCAGACTGCAGAAAACAGGGGCTAGGATAGAACAGGTTATTTCAACCATTACTCACCTACGGTAGCAAACTGAGAGTCGAGGCCCAAGAGCAGAAGCATGAAGAAGAATAAAAAGGACCAGAGAGGAGCGACTGGTAACTTGGAGAGAGCCTCCGGATAGGCAACAAACGCCAAATCGAACCCTGCCAGTGAAGCAGAATCAGTTGTGATGTCAGAAGACAATACAAGGGTATTTTCCCATGGATCTGTGCAACTGGACGTCACACCATAGTGAAGGGTTGGCCAGTTGTTCACCCGTGGACAGCATTAGTCATATGCCTGATGAAGTTTGGGCTCCTCACACCGGTTACTGTGCTGGTGCACCACTGGGCTCTGAATACATAAGAGCATAATAAGAGGGTGTGAATCAGCCACAAAGTCCACTTGGTCCACCATCTCCTGTTTCCAGCAATGGCCAGCCAGATGCTCCCGGGATGCCTCACAGGCAGGGTGCAAAAGATCTGTCCCTCCTCCACTGCTTGCACCTCCTCAGTAGACACTGAGAATCATGATGCCTCTGAAGCTCAGGAGAGGACAACATGAGAACAAGATGACCTTTGCTTCCTCTGCCCTTTTGTCTCATCCGCTACCCCCCTCATGTTGAAGAGAGGAGGAAATTCTCACTGCCACCAGTTCCATCACCATTTTATTTCTCCAGTCTGCTTCTAGTCCCTTTGCACTTTTGTCACGATAGGTGTACACAGCTCAAGAGCACTTCTACAGCACAGTCCTCAATAACTGTCCAACTTACCTGAGTCTACGACTTCCGAGACTTTCTTGCCTGCCTTGAATGCCATATGACCCAAGATGGAGAAAATGGCAAACCCAGCAAAGATGCTGGTCAGGCAGTTGGTCACACAGACGAAGATTGCGTCAGAGTAGCAGTTGTTGTGGAACTTGTTGTATGATGAGAGGGCAACCAAACCTCCCCACGCAACAGAGAGAGAAAAGAAGATCTGGGTAGCCGCATCTTTCCACACCTGAACGGGGACAGAAAAGACAAATGTTTTTACATTTATAATCTCTGTGACTTTAGGTTTCTGAAAGATGTTAACACAAAAATAAAAGTTTACGTGAAATAATTAAATAATTCAATAATGGTGTGTTTTAACGTCATTAGTTTAGTAACCTATACGATCACCCTGTAAGATAGGCCAGCATCATGATCCCCATACTGCAGACTGGGTGGGAGGCTGAGAGAGCTGCTGACCTAAAGCCACCAGTCGCTTTGAAAAAGTAAGTTTTATCTCATAGCTTATACCCCTAACCATGATACTACTCCAGCTCAGCTGGTCTGGTGGATGGTATTGTCTTTGTAAGTGGGAGGCCTTGGTTCAAATATTTGCACATCTATGGATTCACTGGGTGACCTCGGGCATGTCACTCTTTAGGGCCAGGTGGGGATGGTTTTGAACTAATCAACCGGACTGTTTCAACCACCCCTCCCATTCCTCTTTTGTTTTGATTTTGTATATCGAACCCATGATTTCTTCACTTCGCACCATTTTTTGTTTCCGTTCACTGAATCTTCCCTGCAAAATGTCTGTCTGTCAATGCTATTTGTGCACCATTAAATCAGAACTACATATTTTATGTCTATTATACATGCAAGTGACGTACATCACACACATATATAAATACCACAGAAAATAACTGTGCAACATGTGTGCTCGATAATAACAAAACTACGGTAACAAGACAGAATAGTGCTCTTGAAAAATATAAACATATATAAAAGGCAATAAAATCAGGAACATTTCCCCTTCTCTAAGGCAAGGCTGGGGCCACAGGGGGCCATACCTGGAGCCACATGGGGGGGGGCCCTATCCTGCTCAGTAGCCCAAGCACCAACGGCTAGAATTAGAGCTCTGCTGAGCTAGCCAAGAGACAGAAGATCAGGCTGTAACAAACTGTATTGTGTGACAAACTGTATTGACCCCAGGCCTGGCCAGTCCACAGGCTTCACACTTCCTGGTGTTAGTCAACAGTGTGCAAAGACACAACACTGCCAACACTGCCAACTTCTCTCGGGCCATTCCTGGATATTTGGGGGTGGGGCCTGGGGATGGTGGGTTTTGGGGAAGAGAGGGACCTCAGCAGGGATGTAATGCAATGGAGCCCATCCTCCAAAGTAACCATTTTCACCAGGGGTACTGATCCATATAGTCCGGAGATCAGTCGTTATATACAGGCAGAGGTCATTTCGGGGGGGATCGCGGGGGATCGCAGTTCTCCCGGGTGAGGTATGGGGGGCGGGGCACATGACAAAGCCCCCCCCCCCTGCTTCCGGCCGCCCCGCTTCCGGCCCTCATTCAGCCAGGAGGAGGCAGGAGAAGAGGGAGGGTAAGTTGCTTCCTCCCTGCTTCTCCCCACCCCTGCCTGCCTGGGGCCAGGGAGGGCCTTCGCGGGGCTTCCTTGCACTCCCGCCGGCCTTGCAGGTCTACCGCCAGGCCCCTCATGGGGCTCAGCAGTGGAGCTGCAAGGCCGGCGGCAGCCGGGACCGTTGGGGGCGGGGTGTGTGGCCTTATGACACACTTCCGGTGATGTCAGGGGGTGTGGCATATGCTAATGAGTTAGGCTAATGAGTTCCCCTAGCTCTTTTTCTACGAAACAAATACAGGCGATCTCCTGGCCCCACCTGGAGGCTGGCAACTCTAACACACAGGGTCATGTACCCTTCCTCTATGGCCGCTCCCTTGAGACTGCCCTCCATTGAGCAGCTTCTGTCTGCTATGTGCACCTACCTCTGCCTCCATAAGCTTGGTGAAATTGGACTGTCTTCCAATATAATACTCAATGCCCTCATGGGCACCTTCCAGTGTGGCGCCTCGTACCAAAAGCACAATGAGGATGACATAGGGGAAGATCGCTGTGAAGTAGACAACCTACAAAGAGAGAGGAGACAATAGCACTGAGATACTAGCCTGAGAGCAGGATTGCAAAGAAAGGAAGAGTGGTAGGACTGATTCGTCAATGGAGGTTGGGTGCCCCCCCCCCCCATAAATCAGCAAATGACTTTTGATCATTACTCCAAACAGAGACAGAGAGCCTTGTCTCCTCTGACTTAATACCCTCCGGTTCCTCAGTCAGGGTGAATTCATACAACCATCTATCTGGTCTTAAATCTACATGAGTTGCTCTATTTAATCATATCCATGGACTGGAGCAGTCCTGCAAGCAGCTACTTCCAACGTATCCAAAACATTCCAACATCATTCTAGTCATATATTCTGTTATCATTGTTTCACATTATAATATGCTGGTGTACATTAACTGCCTATCCCACCCACCCACCTTCCTCTAGATACTCCCATAGATGAGATTCCAGTGGAATCTATGATCCTACACTTGAAACCATCTCCAGGACCGTCTCTCAGATAAAGGAACCCACTCCAATGAGATGTGCCCATGGAATCGCTTCCAAAAACCATCATATGAGCACCAAACACCACACCAAAATTGGCTCGGCTACATTAAGTGCTAGTTTTGAGTGGGGCCACTCCTGGAGAGACTTCCAAGCGGTTGGACGAGGAAGGGTGTTGGCCCCCTCAGTTTAGGTTAATGATTGTGCTCTCAAGCTGTCACAGAGCCTGTCCAACTGGTTCTTCTGTTGCACACCAAGCTTTCCTGTTGCACCCTCCCACCAAATGCCCAGGTAGCCTCCACAGACCTGCCTCTTTTTTGGCCAAGGGAACTCCCTACTCTCTTACAGAAGATGTGTGCGTGACAAACTGTCGAGTTACTTCCAAAACATCCTATCATTAACAGGCCTGGCTCAGGTCTTGCACACTGACGGCTAGCTGTGGCTTCCTTTACTGGGTCAACCCTACTCATGCTGGGTCTTCGTCTCCTCCTGCTGCGCTCAACTTTCCCTAGCATTATTATCTTTTCCAGTTAGTCTCGTCTTCTCATGATGTGATGAAAATATGACACCCTTCTGACAAGAATACAAGCTTTCAAAAAATAATCCTGAGGAAAGGTATAGAACGTACCTTCAGATCTCACATTGGAACAAGGTGGCAATCCTGTAAGTTATGCAAGTTGGGGAACAATGCAGGCTCATACTACATATATCCCCACAAAAAAACCGTTCTGCCAGTGGAAGCTGGTTTGACTTTTTTCTGTGGTTTGGCTACCTTTCTTGAATAACTGGTGCCGCCAAAAACAATCTTTTAAAACTTTCTCTGTGGTGTATGGCTTGGCTGACTTTCTTGAACCATCTGGCGATGTTTGCCCTGCAAGCACCTTTCTGTAGTGCACCTGACTTCTGTTGATGACACAGTGTGTTCTGGATAGCACAGTTGAGGAGAGGAAAGAAGAGGGGTAGGATATGGGTGGACACTCATCATAGAGGGCTGCCACAGACGGCCTGCCCTGACCCTTGGCTTGGAGAAATTACCTTTCCTGAAGATTTAATGCCTTTGAACAAAGCTGCTCCCACAATCAGCCATGAAAGGAGAAGGCAGAGGGCCAAGTACCACACGATCTGCCCCGTTTCATCTAAGCCAGACGAACGCTGTAGAGCCTTTTTGCTGGAAAAATCAGAGAGGGGGGGCATCAGCAAGGATTCTGTGGTTTAGAGTGGAGAATGGAGTCCTGTAGCTATCACACTGCAAAATTATGGATCCAAAAGGAGGCCATGTGCCCTCTGACAGGGCTTGTCCAGTTCTAGGGAACTGTTTGCCTTGGGATTGTTAAATTTACCGAATGTGGCCCTTAAATGGAGGGGCATCGTCTAAAAAGAAATGTCTATCAACACAGCCTGTTTGATTTTGACCCTGCAATCTTTGTCCTTCTTGTGACTGTTGATCACAGCCCCACTTGCTTGTTTCAGCCCCACCATGGTCCTTCTATCCACCGTCACATCCAAGCCCTGGGCCCAGATTTAGCCTGCTAATTTGAGCCTTGACCCTTCTATCCAGTAAAGACTATTTAAATTGCCATAGCAATAATGGACCATGAAGGTGATCTGAAAGCACATGGTTGTCATTGATTTGCACACACCCACCCAATGTTCACACCCATATGTGTGCGCACAGGGTGTGCCACGGTGTCTCTCTAATGCACCACCCTGGCAAGGTTTAATACTTTAATCAACAGACAATTTGTGTGGTGTATCCCACAATTAATCATGCTTACAAAAGCAATGGTGTGGCCCAAACCTGCACATTAAACAAGCTCAAATGTCTTTGAAAACAGAACACTCTTGCTCATGTGGGTGCAAAATTAAGGGGATGGGGCATGGATCAGTGGTAGAGTATCTGCTTTGCATGCAGGAGGTCCCCAGTTCAATCCCCGGCATCTCCTGTAAAAAGGATTAGGCAGCAGGTGATGTGAAAGACCTCCCTCTGAGATCTTGGACAGCGTCTCTCAGTGGTCTCATTCGGTACAAGGTAGCTTCATGTGTGTTTGTCCTGATCAAGAAACTTTCTGAAATAATCTTTAATAGTCAGGGAGAAGCCATTTCCTAATGTTCTCCAGTGGGTGGCCACATTCCGTCATTCAGTTTGGGAAAAACAGCCTCAGGGGCACTTTCAGAATCTCCTTGTAACTGATGCAGGAAGGGTTGACCAACCCACAAGAACATATGAGAAGACCTTGCTGGATTGAGCCACATAATGCCACATCCTGTTTCCAGTGAAGCAAACCATTCCCCTTTCTGGGTAGGAGAAACACTTTGGAGTTAGCCAATTACTTTTGTGCTTGAAGCCCTTTTGTAGAAACGCAGGCGTGATATTTGCAATGTAGCATGTGTGTGTGAAATGTAGCCTGCGCGCACACACACACACATACATGCACACATGCATATATGCGAGGGAAGGGGAGTCCTTTTAATTGAGTTGGAGGCCTTCTGCATTCCAAACAGATGCTCCACCACAAACAAAGCAAGAGACACACCAGTATTGTTCCCCAGCAATTGGTATCCTGCTGTATCAGATAATAGTCCATCTAGTCTAGCATCCTATCTCACACAGAGATCAACCAGTTCCTCTGGACAACCAACAACAGGGTGTAGAGACCAAGGCCTTCTCTTGATGTTGCCTCCTGGCTCTGGGATTCAGAGGACTAGTGCCTCTAAATGTGGAGGTTCTCCTCAGTCACCATGGTTAGTAGTCATTGATAGACTTATCCTCCATGAATCTATCTAATCCCCTTTTAAAGTGGTTTGTTCCTGCAGCCATCACTACATCCTCTGACAGTGAATTCCACAGTTTAATCACTCTCTGTGTAAAGTGGTATTTCCTTTTGTCCATCTTGAACCTACTGCCCATCAATTTCATTGCCCTTTGGAAGAGGGAAAAAAATTCTCTTAGTCAACTCTCTCCACTATGCATCTCTCCTTATATATAATTCTGTTTGGGGGTGAACATTACACATGGTCCCACAGCCTTTGGCTCCCTCAGCTACCACTCAAAAGGTCTGCCAATCCCCTGGCTGCATTGTCTCGCTGTGCTGCCTCAGTCCTGTCCACAGAGCCAGTGGCCAGCGTCTCGGCCTCAGTCTGGAGGGAGCTGGTGAAGGGGATGGATACTCCACCGGGCGGAGGCTTAGGAGGCAGCCCAGTGTGGTACAGGAGAGTTCCCCACTTATTATGAGTGACGGGGATTCCTTTTTCTCCTCCACACTTCCTCCTCAGGCGTTCCTTCGGTTTTTTGCCCCCCTGGAGGGAGCAGCAACCTCTCCACGGCCCAAAAGGGAAACAGAGGAGGGGCCGCCAGGAAGGATGCCAAGGGGTGGGGGCCTGACGACTGGCCACTGACGACTGGCCAGAAAGGCTGCGCAGGAAAAGGAGGCAGACCTAAGGAGTGGTGGCAAGCACAGGAAGCACTCACCTTCGCTGCCCCTCGCAGCCCTTCTCCCTCAGCCACAAGGCCAGCGTTTCCTCAGGGAGAGAGCTCAGCAGGTAGCCCCACAGAGAAAGCTGGCTGCCTCCTTCCAAAGGCTTCCCCTGCCTTTCTTCAGCAGCAGCTGCAGGTAGGGTATGGCCAAGAGGAAAGGAGCTGCGGCTCCTGGGAAGCCCGACGGCGGGATGAGGAGGAGCAGGAAGTAGCTGACGCCTAAAGTGCCACAGGAACTGCACACAGCACTGCGGACAGAGCACGGAGTGCAGGCAAGAGGCGGAGGAAGCCCCGGCAGGAGCCGCCAAGGGGCTGCCAGGCAGGCAGGCACAGTGGCTGGAGGAGCTCCCCCTCACCTCACCAAGGTGGCCGAGCACCTTGGGAAGGCTCTGGGGCTGCCTATCAGTCAGTGGCCACCTCTGTTTGTAGAGAAAGAGCGGCCCAGGCACAAAGGCTTCTCCCCACACCTGCTCCCCCCCATAGCTTCTCGCAGAGACACTGCTGAGCGTGTGCTCACTTTCTCCCCCTCCGGCCATGGCTCTGCGGAGAGAGGGCCGCCACTCTCGAGGGAGGGAGGTGGGTGGGTAAAAGACACTGAGTGCCCCCTTCATGTGGGGGAGGTCACTTTGCTGCCCTTTCGGTAGTGATGCACTGAGTCCAGGCTTGATGGAACCCAGAAACAAGGCTTGCAGCACCTTTAAAAGACTCGCCAAGGAGGAGGGTCAGGCCAACATCTTCCTAGTGCTCGTTGTATTCCTTTTACAATGGGCTTTGCTACTAGTAATTGTATAAACCTCTATCATGTCCCCTCTTAGTCATCTCTTTTCTAAACTGAAAAGTCCCAGATTCTTCAGCCTTTCCTCATAGGGAAAATGATCCAGCCCCCTAATCATCTTGGTTGCCCTCCTCTGTACTTTTTCCAGCTCTGCAATGTCCTTTTGGAGACACGGTGACCAGAACTGTGCACAGTATTCCAAATGAGGCCACACCATAAATCTATACATGGGCATTACAATATTGGCCATTTTATTTTCAGTCCTTTTTAAAATAATCCCTAACTTTGAGTTTTGCCTTTTTCACCACTGCAGCACGCTGGGTTGACACTTTCATTGAGCTATCCACTATGACCCGGAGATCTTTTCCCCTCTCAGTCTCAGCAAGTTCAGACCCCATTAGCCTATACTTGAAGTTGGGATTTTTTGCCCCAGCGTGCATCACCTTATACTTACCAACACTGAACTTAGTTTGCCACATTATTTCTCACTCACCCAGTTTGTGGAGGTCCTGTTGGAGCTTTTCACGGTCAGCCTAAGACTGTCATTATTACCACACCTAGTAGCAGAGAATTCCTGAAGCTAATTATCTGTACCTTCTTTTGTACTTCTCTCTATTGACTCCTACCCACAAAAGTGCTGAAGATGGTAACTAAGATGCTTAAAGGGTTGGGGCCAATGTTCCCTCTAAGCTATGGAGTCTTGTGAGCAAATATTCTACTTTGTGAGCTACTGGCATTAAAGTTGTGAGCAAGCAATTCGGCTACTGCGTAAATTAGTTTGCTCTGGAGCCATCCTTCCTGAACGAAGAGAAAAATCTGTGAGCCGGAGGCTAAAAAACTGTGAGCTAGCTCACACTAACTCAGCTTAGAGGGAATGGGGCATCTTTCTTATGAGGGAAGCCTGGAGAATCTGGGATTTTTTGCTTCAGAAAAAGATGGGTGAGAGCGGACATGATAGAGGTTTATAAAATTCTGTGTGAGGTACAGAAAGAGGAGAACTCAGGGGCACCCAATGCAGTGGATGGGTAATAGATTCAGGATGAACCATTAATGATTAAAGTGTGGAATTCACTGCCACTGGATGCACTGATGGCCAAGAGCATAGGTGGCTTTAAGAGAGAATTACACAGTTTCATGGAGGATGGCATGACGGACAGAAGGCTGTCCAGACCCTGAATGGGAAAACAGCCACTCAGTTAAACCTATGAGTGTGCTGCTCCAGCACCCAATCACCTCTGGGAAGGGGGTTGGAACAGCTGCAGTTCTGTTCTGCCTCGGGGAGAGAGCAGCGGGAGCTCAGGGCTGGCTCAAGAAAAGAGCAGACAGAGCATAGGGTAGCTCTGCTCGGTAGTGTGGCGGAGTGGTTTGGATCCATTTCTGACAGAGAACAGAGTACCCAGTTGTTAGGCAACCGTTAGGCAATGAGCAGACCTTGTGCCATTTTGTCTGACTCTTGGGAAAGGGCAGGCTGGTGTGGGGGTTGGATCCTGTGAGTTTGTTAAGCTCCAACCTAGTGACTAATTGGTAAAAGCTTGCTTATGCTTGGATGGATCAAAGAAAATCAAAACTACTCTCTAAATTGACGTGCCTCAGCCAGGTTTCTCTTTTGTCTATCTGGAGACCTGTGCTGCTGATCTGTTCCTTGAAACCTGCTTGTAAATAAATAAATCTTCTTGTAAATATAATTCCTGCTCCATATTCTACTTGTGCACCACAAAACTTACCTCATAGCAGTGAACCCAAAGCCTATACACTCACTACCTGATAATTGAGGGGGTTATAGTTTAAAATAAACCTGGTTCCCCCAAAGTCATAGGAGGCTGTGTGGGTCCCCTCAGTTGAGAGAAATGGCCTGTCACAGATGGGTCTATCAATGGCTACTAGTCGTGGTGACTGAAGGGATCCCCAACATTCAGAGGTAGCAAACCAGTGCTAGGAAGCAGCATCAGGGGAAAGCCTTGACCTTGGCCTGTATTCCTTGTCTGTTGGCCTTCCAAGGGAACTAGTTGGCTGCTGTGTGAAACGGGATGCTGGACTAGAAGGACCACTAATCGGATTCAACAGGACTCTTCTTGGATTCAAACAAAATGGACTGTGAAGAGCTCCAAAGAGATCTCTGCAGACAGAGGGAATGGGCATTAAAGTGGTAAATGAGATTCAGTTTGAGCAAGTGTAAGGTGATGTGAATTGGGGCAAAAAAATCCCAGCTTCACATACACACAGATGGGATAACTGGCAGCGATAGACATAGAAAGGGATCTCGGGGTACTAGTAGATAGCTCGATTAAAAAGTCAGTGTGCGGATGCTGTGAAAAAGGCAAATTCCATGCTGGCTATAATTAAAACAGGAACAGATAATAATACTGCCACCATCATACTGCCCTTATACAAATCTATAGTGAGACCACACTTAGAATATTCTGTACAGTTCTGGTCACTATACTTTAGAAAGGATATTGTAGGGCTTGAAAAGTTGCAGAAAAGAACAACCAAAGTGATGAGGGAGCTAGAGCAACTGCCCTATAAGGATCAGAAAAATGCTAAGGGCTTTTAGCTTATAACAAAGGCAAGTAGAGACATGATAGAGGTCTGTAAAATTATGCATGGTACAGAAAGAGTAGACAGGGAGAGGCTTTTCTGCCTATAATCATAGAATGTTAGAGTTGGAAGGGACCTAGCAGGTCATCTAGTCCAACCCCCTGCACTCTGCAGGATTATAGCCAAAAGATAGCCCTACAACATACCCAAAAGATGGCCGTCCAGCCTCTTTCATAATACTAGAACCTGGGGTCATCCACTGAAGCTGGAGGGTAGAAGATTCAGGACAGCACATAGTTAAATTGTGGAACTCAATGCCACATGACGTAGTGATGGCTGCCACCTTGGAGGGCTTTAAAAGGAGAGTGGGCAAATTCATGGAGGATGGAGCTATCAATGGGTACTATGGGTGCTAGTTCCAATGGCTACTAGGCATGATCCAGTACCAGAGGCAGGGTGCCTCTTTATATCAGTTGCTGGGGAACACATGAGGGAGGACACTGTTGTAGTCATCTTGCTTGTGAGCTTCCTAGAGGCAGCTGGTTGGCCACTGTGTGAACAAAATGCTGGACTTGACAAGCCTTGTCTGATCCAGCATGGCTCTTCTTATTTGTACACACTTGTGTTATCTCAGCCAACACAAGTTAGGGAACATCTTTCCCAAGGTCTGTCTGTTTGTTTGCCTACCTATTGCATTTTTATCCTGCCCTCCTCTGAAGGAACTCAGAGCAGGTTTAGGAATCTCCCTTCTGCAATGTTACTTTGATATGGAATTTGCAGTGGTGCATGGAATCCGTAACTGCGCAAATAGCTCTGTGTGCTGCACTGAAATTTAAATGCAGCTTTCTGTTATTATGAATAACTATTTATTATTTAGGAAACTTAAATCTCACTTTTCTATTTTTACAAGCAAATGTTGTGAATAATAACAGAAAACTTTGTTACAAATAATTTCTGGGTGGGAGAAACACTTTGGGGTTCACTACTTATTTTTGTGTTTGATGTCCCTTTTATTGGAACTCTTTATTGGAAGTTGTGAATGAGCAATTTGGCTACTGCATAAATTTGTTTGCTCTGGAGCCATCCTTCCTGAGCTTAGAAAAAATGTAGTTTGCTCTGGTTTATAAACTCTGAGCTAGCTCACACTAACTCACCTTAAAGGGAACACTGATGCACATGCATCAGAGTGGGGAATGAAATTTGTTGAATTTTTCATATCAGAAAAATATACCGTATTTAATCACAGGGCTACTTCTTTCATTTCTATAAATTGACATTTTCAGGCTTACAAAACCTCAAGAAGGTGAGTGGATAGCAAAGAAGAAAGTAAGCCAATATGTGCTGCTACAGATGGCCAGTAAGAAAGTGACTGAAGTGATACTTCCCATCTTCTGCTCTGAGTCCCCCGACAGAGACAGTATTGTTAAGAAATTTAAGTTATTTTCATCCCTGATGGGTAGTATGGTGAACTTGGATCTGGAAGACCCCTGCTATTCAAATCCCACTTCTTCTGCTGTCTGGGCAAGCCACTGGGCTCCTCATCTGTAAAATGGGAACAATGGCACCCTTCCCTATGACTTTGGAATAGCACTTATGAAGCACTTTGCCAATAAGATGTAGTCATTAAATGACAAAGAGTAATGGGTTTAATACTTACTTCCAATATTGTTCACTGGGAACCTGGGTGTCTGCAAACTTTGAGGTTTCATTGAGGCAGGTGAGGTTCTGGCTTTGGACCCAAGAGTAGTTGGCATGGATAATGGTGCCATCGTTCTGTGTGGCATTGCACGAGAGCACTGAAAGAACAGAAGGCAATATTATATGATACCGGAGAAGGAAAAGATTGGCTTCTTGTAGCAAACATAATTTCATCTGTTACTATTTTGATTGATGAGTTTATTCTTATTATCACTATGAGGAAAAAATGCCTTTCATATTGACAGGAGCATGCATGTGTACAGAAAGTGTGTACGTTGCAGGGAGCGCCCTCTGTACACAGATTTACTTATTTTATTTATTTTACTTTATTTTATTTATACCCCACCCTCCTCGCTGAAGCAGGCTCAGGGCGGCACATTGCACCTATATGTAGCTTCTCTATCGGAGAAGGCTGAGAGAACTGGGCACTGGAGGGCAGGTTTAGCCCTCAATGAAACAAAATCCTCAATAAGCAGCTCTTACCTATCAGTGTGGAAGTGCTGCACTCAGGGCCACCATTTGGGAAGGAAGGAGGCTAAATTTCCCTTCTGTCCCTGTGGACCTCAGCCACTGATCACCACACCTCCTCCTGATTGCACAGGCAGATCAGCCTTTCATCTGCGTAGCTCCACCATGGACCGCCAACTTCTTACAAACAAGCTAGCAATGTGTCTGTAAAAAGGATGGGTGAAGTGTGTGTGGAAAGCGGAGGGACTGGTGTATAGCCAGATGGAGCCCTGTGACAGTATAATGTATATCACAGTATCTCACAGTATTTTGCACAGAGATGTGTTCTGCACATGCCATGCGATGGGATCGCTGTTGGTGAGGGCATCATGTTGGTGAGGGCTGGATTAGCATCTACATGAACATTCATATATCAAGCTGCCTTATACTGAATCAGACCATTGGTCCATCAGGGTCAGTACTGCCAACTCAGACTGGCAGCAGCTCTCCAGGATCTCATTGAGGTCTTTCACATCATCTACTGCCTGGTCCTTTAACTAGAGATGCTGGGGATTGAACCTGGGAGCTCGTCCACTGAGCTACAGCCCTTCCTCAAATACGAGAAGAAGAAACTACTTTCATACAACATTTCTCCTAAAGCCAGCATTCTACTTTTCTCTTTAGGAGTAAATGAGAATTACGCAAATGAAACAACTAACTTGGGCACACCATTTGGTGTGGGCTAAATCTGCCTCAGGTGACCTCTGTCATTAAGAATAAACCAGTCCTGTGTGCATAATCTTGTCCCTTCATCTGCACCACCCCATCCTTGGTTCCGTTTCTGGCTCAGATTAGATGGTGACAGATTATTAGGATCTGGATTACGCACAAGTGCCAAAAGATGGCCTTTCCCTCCCATTTTGAGGGAAGTCCCTCTAGGGCCAGAAGTGTATAGTTCAACAACAACAAACAGTGACTCCATTTAATGCAAATAATGTGAGATGTTGTGAAAGAGTATAGGTCAGGATGGGGGGAAATAATGTATTGCTAACGGGGCCTACCAATTGCAGTCTTGCTGCATAGTTCGTCAGCCCATTCCGGGTCACAGCTCGCCCAAGGGAGCTCACTTCGGAAAGAGGCAAATAAATAGTAGAGGCTGTAGCCAATGATGACGTTGTAGTAGATGGTCACAAATGTTGAAATCAGCACCATTGTGATTCCCACTCCTGGAGGGAAAGAAATAAGAAATGTCATCATTAAAATGGAAGCTGTTTCTAAAATGCATCTTTCCCACTTTCCCAGAACTAAGCAGACCCCTAGAGAGAAATTTGGGCTATGGGAGGAAATAAAGCACACTGGGGAGAGATCTCCCCTATTCACCTCCCATACCATCCTGTATTGTTTATTTCTAAACTTTATAAGCCACCTCTCCAGAGAACTGCTTGAGACAGCTCTCAAATCAAAAACAATAAAAACAAAATTACAAAAAAAGCAGCTGAGCATTAGAGTCAGAATAAAATCCATGAAATTGTACTCATAAAACAGGCTAGAAGCAGACCTTAACAAAAAATATAGAGTCTCTCAGTTAAATCCCTGGATAAAAAAGAATTGCTTTGTCCTGGTGCTTAAAAGACAGTAAGGCAGATGTCAGGCACCAGCAAGCCTCAAAGGGAAGGCGCCACCTGTGAAAAAGCCTTGTCTTTGGCTGACACCCACCTCTCCTCTGCAGGAAGGGTAACTTCACTGATTAATTTAATACCCCCAAGTAATCTTCTGGCTACAAGCGGTAGTCCAAGCACATCAGAGCAAAGACCCACGGAGGTGAACCGCGGGCATGACTGGGATTATGCCTAGGGGAGAGTTAGTGTCCTTCTCCCACCCCTTTTCCTTCAAAGGGTAAATACTTGCCCTGCCAACATGCTGTTAATAAGGGAACACAGTGCTGCAGATACCAGGAAAACAAAATACACTGTGGCTGCGGTCACACGCGCCAGTTGAAGTGGAGGGGAAGCGAGGCTATTCCCCCTGGAGGAATTTGACATGCAGTTGCGCGATCACACAGCCCTTTGAAGCTGCAGGCGCAGCCCGTCACTGTGTGATCAAACGCAACTGTGGATGAGTCGAGGGGTTTTTTTGCTGCTTGTTTCCCTTGCACACAAACGAGGAATCGCACCTCTGCACCGAGGGCCACCTATGGAGTATGCGATTATGCACATACTGCAAAGGGGGGGGAACAGCACGGAGTCGGGATGGCCTGATCAGTCCATCCTGATGGCACGAGAGCGTGTTAGAGCGATCAGACAGGGGAAAGTCCGCCCATGGCCCCCCTTATCTAGATAACACATGGTGTCTTTTAACTCTGCTTTCCCTGGTGTCTTTTAACTCTGCTTCCATAGCAGAACAGCATGGGTTGCCGACGATTGCAGGACGCTTCCCAGATGTTGCTATCTGATCGCTCCCTTTAGATCCGTCAGGCATTCACACCTAGGTCAGACCTAAAGGAACGTGTGATTGCAGCCTGTGAAAAAGGAACTTCTAACAATTATATATAAAGACGTAAGCAAGCTTCTTTGTCTGACAATTATTTTAAAGTTAAATACAACGTCGATAGAAGGAAACTTTATAATTGTGATTCCAGAAGATCTCTGGGCCCAGCCTGGAGGTTGGCAACCCTAGCAGGTAGTGACTGCCAGGTTACTCTGCTGCAACCAAAACAATACAGGGTCTGTGGAACCTGAAAGGTTAACGTGGCACAAGTTTTTGTGAGCTAAAGGCCACTTTGTCTTACGCTGCCAACAAAATGGGCTCTTGTTCGCAAAAGTTTGTGCCACAATACATTTGTTAAGTCTTCAAGGTGCCAGGAGAGTCTTTATTATTAAGCAGTTAACATAACACACATTTAACAATTAAACCTGCAAATGTTTGTCAAACTCTCCCAGCCCACAAGAAACAGAAGATGTGATGAGTAATCTGTTGGACCAAGAGAGCAATCCTAAGCGGATCGACACAGAGTCCTGTTTGGGACCATTCCGTGGGGCTCGCTCCCAAGCCAGGTGTCTTTAGGACTGTATTCCTCCATGCAGAGTAAGCGGCTGGCTCGACCCTTATTGATAAAGCTCTTCAGATCTCCATGCGCTGAGTCATCTTTTGCATACTGTATCCAAATGCCCAGTCACATGTTATAGAGCAGAGGTGTTGATCTCATTTGTCATGAGGGCCGGATCTGACATAAATGTCAGTTTGTCGAGCCAGGCCATGTGTTCCATAACATGTAATGCCAGGGACTGGAGGTATTTTACCACTGACCATGACCTATATCCCTCCTCAGCAGAACTCACAGCCAAAACAGCCCTCCTCGTCCCTTATGGTTGCCCTGTCCGTATGGAAGACCCTGGGGAGGCCCTGCGTTTGGGGAAGGGTGTCATACCCTAATATAGACCCTTCCAGTCCACATTTGGACTGGTTTCTCCCCAGTTGCTTGCAGGCCAGATACGAGCCCTGAATGGGCCGGTTCTGGCCCCTGGGCTGTATGTTTGATATGTCTGTTATAGAGTCCTCATGCCTGCCAGAGGTCCTCTCAAACCAGGCCTATGCATGCCTGGGAATTAAGTTCTGAGCATGGAACTCCCAGAACATATCTGTTGACAGACAGGACACATGAGAGACACTACGGTTTTGTATTGTGTGAACTGGCCCACAGTGAGTGTCCAGTGTACTGGCCACCAGTGGGGAGCAGGTGGCCCAGAGAGTGTCCTGTAGATAACATCTGTGCAGTGGTTGGTGGGAAATTTTCTCATCTAAGGACTGCAACTGTTAAAACATGCAAAGCATGTTTGGGGTGGCTTTTGTTTTTTGGCGGAGTGGGAATGATCACAAGCAACATCTATTTCTGTCAAAACCTGAAAGGAGCTTTGGGTGTTTCTCAGTCTGACTTCTTCAGGCTGGCCAGGAACCTGCCAGGATTTGGAGGCACTAATCCCTTCAGGGCTCCTCTATTCCAAATGATCAACAAGGTGATGACTTTTAGAAGCTTTAAAAAATGAAGCTTCCTTGTTCCTCCTATAATCTCCTATGAAGGTCAGGAGGACAATCTCCGGATCTACAGCCAATCAAGCAGAACTAGCAAGAAGAGCCACTGAAGCAAGGATCAGCTTGCAAACAGCAGATTTCCTTTAAAAGACAGCAGCCACAAGCAGAGCACTACAATCTACATGGGGGTGGGGTGGGGGGTTAGGGCTCTCACGCCTCCTATTTTTGTTGATGTGACCAGTCAACCATCCAGAGGCTTGTCTTCACAGGGACAAATGTAACATACCCCCCCTTACAATTTCAAAAACAATGGTCTTTCCTTCCGAATCAAACTCTAAAGCGTAAGGACAGCTGAGGGTCAACAGGGACCAGGGTCAAGCTGATTCAGGGAAGAAGTGGCCCAGGGGAAGGGGGAAGAGGGATGTCCGTGGTAACAATTGCCCAGCTAAGATCAGAGGCTTGATTTAAAAGTGGCGCTAGCTTGGGAAAGAGAACACGTCTGTGGGTATATGTGCAGTTGCACAGCATTTCCATTTAAAGGGGGCTGCTACCCACACAAAGAAGCTACACAGGCTTAAACAGAACATCAGTACCATACCTGCCTGGACACAAAGGATAGGTCTGTAGCCAGGATTTTTTTTACTTCGGGGGGGGCATTTAAATAAGTTGGGGGTGCACCCCTTCACACACCCCAGGCTGTATCAGGAGCGACAAGAGAGTAAAGGTTTAAAAAAGCAATGAGATAGAGAGGGGTGCAAGGGTGCTGGCAGGCAGGGCAGGGTGATGGCTTGGAAAGGCCACAGTGCGCATGCAAAATAAAATAAAATAAACCAGCTGGATGGGAAGTTGGGAGGCCTGGGTGGTAAGTCAGGGGGCCCAGCCCCGAGATGCCCCACTGTAGCTACGGGCCTGGGTCCACCCATGTCTATTAGTTGTGGGCAAAGGGAACCTCAGTATCCAGAGGCAACATCAGGGGGAGGCCTTGGCCTCTCTGCCTTGTCTGTTGGCTCTGTAGGGCAACTGGCTGACCTCTGTGTGAAACAGAGTGACAGACTAGATGGACCACTGGTCTGATCCCGCAGAATCTTCTTATGTTCTTATGACTATGACCCAGATGCACTAGCAATGCTAACTAAGCATGCATAGCTTTATGGGAGAGTGCTTTTACCTTGCCAGTGTGACACTGAAATCAGCCCACATGCACCTCCTTGGAAAGTAGCACTGCTACCTCTCATGCCTAATGTAGGGCGGTAAATCTCCTGTGTGTGTTTAGAAGCTTTAGACTCCACCTTTCTGTTACAAAATAATAGTCAAGGTAGCTAACATCACAGAATTGCAAATGCTAAAAAATGTAAATGCCTACGTAACATAAAATAAACCACAGTAACTGGCAGTGACCTCATACAGAAATAACACAGCAACAAAAGTGAAAACAGCAAAAAAACCCATGACCTAGAGACCATAAACTAGCCATCAGTAATAAAACCAGCAATCAGTGGTAACTTTAGATAAAATCTACATATATTAGAACACCACAGAGTCAGGGAGTTGAGACACTTCAAAGCCTCCCAGCAACGCCTCCCCCAAGAATTTGGGAAGTCAGGACTGAGAGGGCCTGATAAGTGTCGTGGGGAAGGAAATTCCATTGTGTGGGGGCCACAGCCAAAAAAGCCCTGCTACAAGAGAGAAGGAAGCTATAGCTGGTTCTGTTGCCCTGGTCCTGTTGCCCTGCCTCTTCTGTTTCCAGCTGCATGGTACCTTGTGAAAGATGCCTTGCTGTAGTAGCAGACAGAGGGGTGGAAAAGACGGGCTGGGGTGCCAGTGGTCTGGAGGAGCCATCTTTGCTTATCTCCTGTTTCATTTGGAGCCATGTCGCTCTGCTGCAGGGGCAGCCGGCCAGTATCAACAAGACACTGTGTGAATGCCAAGTCCTTCCAGGAAACAGTTTTTGGGTCACCTGGATCGGGTTTCCATCAGCCTATAGAATCTTGCTCTTTCATTGCCCATCTTATTTTTTGCTTTTCTGAAGCCTCTCTACTTTCTGGGCCATCTCCAGACCAGTGGGCTGGAAACTGAACGGCGGCTTTTCCAGAATGCATTTATAACCCACCCTTCCTCCATGAAACTCCAGTACAGGTGAAGTTCTCCCACTTTTATCCTCACAACAGCCATTCAAGGTAGCAATGGATTCAATGAGAGCTGGGCTCAGGTCTCCCTGGTCCACCATCCCCTGCACCACATCAGCTCTGCTTTCTTTCTTCGGCCCCCTTGCTCCAGCCTGTGCACAACTGCGCTATCCACAAAACTAGAACGCTACAAAGAGAAACCTTCCCAGGGAGCTCATTTTTCTGTTTCTCGTTCTTCTTGGCAAGCGGTGGAAATCAATATGCAACGGTAACAACACCGACCTTGTAAAAGGGGTAGAATCCTCCAGATGGAAATGGGTCCTAAGCTGGCAAACTGCCCAAGGGAGCATTCCATGAAGAACAAAGGCAGCCCGGCCAGAGCCAGCATGATGGTGTAGGGTATCAAGAAGGCCCCTGCCAAAAGAGCAAAACCCACATGACGTTTGTGTAAATACAACACGATGCAAAGCTGTAAAATGCTCTGGCTTATTAAAGGAAATCACAGCCTGTTGTTGTTGTGACTGGCACAGAGAATTCCAGTGGCAAAGATCAGGTAAATTGGTACTTGGGATGGGGCCAGATTCTGTTGGCATAACATTAAACCAGCACTAGAGTTGTGCGTAATTCTGAACTTCGCACTGACAGATGTCAACAGAAGTTAACACAAATCCTGGAAGGCTCAAGAGGATCCCAATGAGAAAGCATCCCAAACAGGATTTAACTCACACACATAATGGATGACAGTGAATCAATAGCCCAAGTCCTGGAAATGCATGGAGCCAAGATGAAACAGAAAGTGGCTGGTAGTAACAGAGACCTCATCTGCTGATCTGTTTCAATGCCACCATTTCTACTGCTCACTTCAATGTATCATGCATGGGACATTGCCACTGCAAGTGTCTCCATGGTGGGTGAAAGGCTGCCTAGAATAATGCATGAGTTATCGTGGCAATGCAGCACTTCCAAGCCAATTTCTGGGATGCGAAACAGCTTATACATAAGAAATGCCTAGCTAGATCAGACCATGGGTCTGATGATCTGAATTTAAGAGGAGTCTTACAGGATGAGGCCAAAGGTCTAGTCCAGCATCCTCTTTCTCACAGTAGCTAAGCAGATGCCTCCAGGAAGTCCATAAGTAGGGTGCAAAGGCAAGAGCCCTCCTTGGCAATTGCCTCCAGCAACAGGCATTCAGTGTTATCTTGTCTCTGAGCACTGAGCAGAGTAAGTGTTAGATTCTTACGCACCCTTACAGTACGCCATCTTAAGTAACTAATGAAACATCGCCAGCATTTTATGAACTATGAATTATTTATAACTGAATTGTTTTAGGTTGATCTTACGCTGGTTTTAATTGTTATGTATTAGCCAGTGTAAGCCGCCCAGAGCCTGCTTTGTGGGGAGGGCAGGGTGCAAATTCAATAAATAAATAAAATGGCTAAGAGCTGTTGACGGACCGCCACTCCTCCATGACTCTGACTGCTGCCCTGCTAAATTGGCCTAAGCCAGTGGTCATCATCATGTTTCGTAGCAGCAAATTCCATAACTGAATTATGCATTGACAAAACGTGCACACATCTTTACAACCACAGCTGCTCATCTAATGATGCGCCTTCAACACAAACACAGAGGTGCAACACTCCCAGTCAGCTCTGGACCCCGACGCCACCCTTTGTGATGTGGCATCAGGTCAGCAGTTCTGGAATTGAATCCTACACACTTTTTTTAAAAACTCAGTGGTTCACAGAATCGAACCTCTGAGCATGTTAGATGCAAGAGAAAAGGACTGGTGTGTCCCTGTCAACGAAGCCCAGCACTTGGCTTTGGCTAAACATCCAGAGAACCTCATGCTTCATTTTTAGATAAAGCAACTTCTGAGCAGTGCAGAGCATGAAAACTCTGATGCTAGAAAGGGATTCAGTGGGGTTTCCAGTGTGTGGGAGGGGGGATGGTTTCAGATCCCGGTGTAGCTTATTCCCTCTCCTCATAACTACCAAAAGCAGAATAAACAACGTAGCAGAATCAAATGTATTCAAATATGCATAGATAACTGGTCCTGTAATATGCACAATCACCCACAAAAATCATCACGAGTCTGCCATTGCGGATATATCCACGTGAATCATTTGTGTCCTCATATATGCATATGGGGCATCAGAAGAACTGCCATTAGCACAGCTTCCTTGCTGGATCACATGGATGTGAAGGTGACCAAGCAAATAGTAACCTGGGAAGAGGGAGGCAGAATTCCAACCCTGTGTTGATAAATCTGTCTAGTACCTTTCAAACCCACCTCTCCTTGAATAAGTTTAGGGCAATGTACATTGTCTCCCCTTCCTCTTTTAATCCTCACAACAACCCTGCGAGGTTGGTTAGGCAAAGAAAGAGCAACTGATCCAAGATCATCTAGCTTCATCGCAGAGGTGGGATCTGAACCTGAGGGTCCCAGATTTTGTTGGGCCCTCTAACAACCACTACATGATAACACATGCAACTTTTAAAAATGAAACACTGAAAGACATGTTCCCAAAGCAGTTCTCAGAAGGTCTCCTTGTGAGAAAGAAGAGGGGGGGGGGGAATCCTACCTCCTCCATTCTGATAGGTCAGGTAGGGAAACCGCCATACATTGCCCAGACCAACGGCGTAGCCGACCATAGACAGCAGATAGTCCGTTTTGCTTGACCAGTTGCCCCGCTCAGCATTCTCCTCATCTTTGTCAGCAATTTTCTCTGTGGACAATGTGAATTCCTTGGGAGATGAGAAGAACAGAGACCCTGGTGACTAAGGAAGAACGACCGCTCTGGCGTGCACAAATGTTTCTCTCAGGCGCATATATGACAGGCTGGTCCTGGTATTCAGACTAACAGTATTACTACTGTGTGTGTGTAAAATGCCAACAAGTCACAGCTGGTTTATGGTGCCCCATAGAATTTTAAAGGCAAGAGATGTTCAGAGGTGGTTGGCCTTTGTCTGCCTCTGCGTTGCAACTCTGGGCTTCCTTGGTGGCCTCCCATTCTGGCACTGACCAGGACTGACCCTGCTTGGCTTCCAGTGGGGTTCACCTCAGCCATCCAGGTCAGGCTACCCGCAGCAGCAGCACCGCCACCGTCACCACCAGTGTTCCCTCTAAGCTGAGTTAGTGTGAGCTAGCTCACAGTTTTTTAGCCTCCAGCTCACACGTTTTTGTCTTAGCTCAGGCAGGATGGCTCCAGAGCAAACTAATGTATGCAGGAGCCAAATCGCTCACTCACAACTTTAAGGCCAGTAGCTCACAAAATAGAATTTTTGCTCACAAGACTCCAAAGCT